TTTTTGAGGCATAATTGACATACAGCATTTGTTCTATGACTGTATTTTACTGTAGTCCCTTTAACATATAACCTTAAAGGCAGCTGTGGTTTATTGGTGAAAACCCACGACCAGAGAATTGAATAAAAGACTCAGAACTGCCAGTGTTTGATTTTTTGGAAATCTTAGCAAGTCCCTCAATTTCTTGATCTTGAACTTTTCCCTCTATAATGGAAAATATATGTAATATATATGAAATCACTTTATAGCTTTATAAGCTAAAACACAGAAAGTAATACTGTGGTCAAGAACCTGGTTTCAAAAGAAAAATTGAAAAGGTCATGTTTATATATAGCTAATGCGCATGCATTTCGTATAGGTATTGGGAAACCAGAGAGCAGCGTGCCCCCACCTTGAAAGGAAAACTCGTTCAGAAGGCCGATCAGGAGCAGCAGGACCCTCTGGAATTCCTTCAGTCCGATGAGGAGGATGACGAGAAGCGCGGTGCCCAGCGCCGGCTGCAGGAGCAGCGGGAGCGGCTGCACGGAGCCCTTGCTCTCATAGAGCTCGCCAACCTGACCGGAGCGCCGCTCCGCCAGTAGCCTGAACTCTGACTCTTCCACTGTACAAAAGTACTGCCCAGCGTACTTACAAAGTAGATCCTTGGGCATAAGCTAAGCACCTTATTTGCTTATCATAGGCTGCTATTCTGTAGAAATTTATGAAGAATGTCATTGCTCCATAATATGGGGTGAGAGAGAATTGCACTTTTTTTATATGGTAATGGATTTGTTGTAAAGTTTAAAATATTTTGTAAATACGGGACTTCTAGTACAGGGTAGAAAAGGACATATTGTGGGAAGCTAGATTTTGCAAGTTTAATGCATTCATTGGAAGCAGTTCTCACAGGAAGCACTTTCTGAATAAGACACTTGTATGAAAAAACAATGGTACATGTAGCCAAAGAACGTTGAAATAGATTATTTATAAGATCATTAACAATGTATATTAGTATGTTTAACAATACTGTAAACACTGAAGCAAGCCAGAAAGTATAAGATATGTGTATAAGATACGTATTTTTAAATTGCAAAATAGTGTGCCTAATGAGAAGTGGAAAACTGACTATTTTGGAAAATGTTCTAGGTTGTGGACTTTGGAAGAAAAGAGATACTTGAGGATCTTGGTAAGATGCACAGTAGTTGAGGATTTTCAGAATTGGAGTAATATCAGTCTTATTCTATTTTCCTGAGGCTTTACAACTCACTATGATGTTTAGGTTTGAAAAGCACTTGGCATCCCTATTATGTTAACTTGGGAACTTTTGCACATTGCATATTTCTCATTTGCTGAAATTGAGTGGTTAATCTTGCAAAGTCTAGGTAACTTGGTGATTGGGTTTTTTTTGTTTTTTTGTTTTGTTTTTTAATTATGGGCCCTGTAAGGAGATTTGGCACTTGGATTTTTATTGATAAAAGGGACATCTACAGGGTTGTTTTGTAGTGAACTGTTTTAGATCTTTTGTTAGCAAACACTAAATTTTAATTGTACTGCTTGTTTAGAATTATTAGCAAATGGAAGCCTCCTATTTATATTTTCAGTGCATAAAGCCACCTTCTTGCTTTTACTTCAGAGTAACATGCCAGGCTATTTTGTGTTCACTAAATTTAGTTATCAGTTAAACACTGCAGAAAATATTAGCTACTCAGATAAGCAGTTTTCTGGAATAGGTTCGACTGCAAGTGTGTTAACTTGTGTGGTGGTTTTAAGCCATTTTTCCAAATGAAGTTTTTTAAATACCACTTTATGTACTGAAGCATGAACAGAAAAAAACCTGAGCAGTTCACCTCCTATATGTAGGCATAAACCTCCATCATTTAAGCTTTTGTTTTAAGCAAACTAAACAACATGCATAGCATGATAATTTGGTAGATTGCTTAATTGGAGTAAACCTCAGAGTAATGAGAAGGAAATATGGGCTCTTCAGCGCCTTTTTTTCCCCCTTTTTTGAAGTAGTAGCCTACAGATGTAGTTTAAACATTATCTAAAATGTAGGCTTCTTTATCCAAAAATCCCAGTGTGTTGCAGTACACACATAGTTTAAAATACGTAGCCATGGGGAAGGGGTGGTTTGTAAATGTCTTGGAAAGAAGCAAAAGTGTGAAAGATGATAGTAACAAATAATGTGTATGAATGAGGACATACTTTAAAAATGTAATTCCTCTGTACAGTAAATTACAAATCTTGAGGGATTTTTTTTGTAATAAGAATTTATATTTGTAATGGTCTAAGAATTTTGTTTGTAATCTGGTATATAGAATTTTAACTTGGAGCACTTATAAGCACAGTAAGAGATACTGTAGCATCAGAATTTTTATGGGTTAGGCTTCAGCATTTTCTCTAGAATTTTTCCTCTCGAATATAACTTAAATGAAATATTAAAAAGCAATACTCATCAGTCTTGGGAAATTTAAAATTTGATGAACTTACCTAAAGGAAGGACAGTAAAATTGTATTAAAAAATACAAATACTTGGCCATTTCATGGTTAATAAAATTTAAGGCCTTCAAAAATAAGGGTTTTTATTTGTTTTTCTGGTCAGCTTTCGTCAACTCTAATAGTTATATTCACAAACATTTTTTATTTGTATAATTGGAAGTTTAAGAAATTATTACAACTAACTATAGAAATATTTAAAATGTTCTTTCTTGATATAAGCTATATACTTGGACAAAATACATTAGCATCTAAAATTTGAGGTGTGTTAAGACTGCTTTTTGTTTTAAAAATGTGGTTTACATTCAAATTTTTGAAGTGTTTTATGCTTCATATGGCTAAATTGTAGGTTGGCAGAGATGACAGCATAAGAATAAACATGCTGTAATTTTAAAAGATGCTTTGAATAAAATTTTATTTTAATTTACAGTTTAAAGTACATGTCCATTTTTGAACCCTTTATACTTTGCCTCTCAACAATATAACTATAAAATAAAAAATTGAAAAGGTAAAAATGTTGCCTCCCCTCATTGTCATTTTGGAGCGTTTTATGTTTCATTTCCAGTCTCCTCAGGCATCTGTTTAGCATTAGTAGAAACCATAGTGTGAGTTGCTTTTTCTTACTTTAAAATTATGGCCTTTTAGATTGTACATATTAATTTAACTTCCTCATCTCATTCATCATTACAGTGTTAAAAATACACTGGCTTAGATAAGTAATACCGTCCGTATTCCAGGCCATATGGTAATGGTGATCAGGAACTGGGATTTTATTTCACTTATAATCTGGATATGTTGCATGTGGTCACCTCCCTGAGAAGCCACTTAGGGCCTGTTAATATTTTAGTCCAGCAAGTTGGTCTAATTTTTTTCATTAGTTACTAATCTTTAAAGTATACTTGCAATAGGCAAGGTTCAGTCTGTCTAGGCTTTGAGCAAAAGAATTTCATAGGGAACTCTTCAGTATGAGTTGTGATTTAAACAGAGTTGGGATGAGATTTTGACAGCCAATACGGTCTTGAAAGTATGCATGTAGAAGCAAATTAAGTGCAAATATGATTAAGGCTGTTATTAAAAGTGAGTTTAATGTTAACTTGTAAAAGTGGGCTCCATACTGGGCAGAACTTGAACTCAAGACTCTTTAGATCAAGACATGAGCTGAGATCACCGAGTGACACAGGCACCCCATTTTCAATTTTAAAATGGTCTTAATGTGTGTCTGCTTTTTAAATTTTTATTATTTTTTTTAAGATTTTTATTTATTCACTCATGAGACACACAGAGAGACAGCCGGAGGGAGAAGCAGGCTCCGTGCAAGGAGCCCGATGTGGGAGTCGATCCCAGGACCCCAGGATCATGACCTGTGCCAAAGGCAGATGCTCAACCACTGAGCCACCCAGGTGCCCCTGCTTTTTTTTTTTTTTTTTTTTTTGGGTAACATGGACTCTGGTTGTTAAAAGTTCTGGTTTAATTCTTACCAGTGCTGAAAATGTTCCTGGTTGTTCCGTGCCTACAACAGAAATACAATTGAATGGCATCAATACAGTTGGCCCAAACATTTTCATTTGAAATCTTTAGCTTTTTTTCTAAAAAGCTAAAGTTTCAGATTCTTAATAGTTGAGAATGAAAATATGGGACACTTGAAAAAATGCTCCATCAGATTGGTCAGAGTAGGCAGTTCTGGGAGACTCTCCTTGGATTTGGGTGAATACAAACACTGAAGCTAGTTGCTGTTGGCTTAGGAAAGAAAGGGGCCCTGATGTTGGGAGAAGCAGCCACCCAGCACCCAGAGGCAAGAAGACTTGAGACGTTGCACCACCTTCACCCTTTCTACTCCTGTGTATTTACCGGAGAGAAAGGAACGGGTGTTCCTACAGGAACCTGGGCATTAAGGTTCATGGCAGCGCTTCGTGTCACAACCCCACGGGGGAACAGCCACTGTGACCCCATCAGCTGGGGAGTCAACTGTGTCCCAGTCAGCAGTTTAAAGAAACAACAAGGTGGGTGGTAAAGGCCTCGAAAGGGACCAGGACCGTACCTCTGAAATTCCAGAAAAGGAAACTCTAGGCCGATAACAAGTCAGAAGGAGCCGGGCGGACTCCAGCTGGGCACGGAGGCGCTGAGGGCGGTGAGGGAGACGGGGATGTGGGTAGTGTCGGGGCGCGCACGTCTCAAAACCAGCGGGGGGCTCCTAAAACCACTTCATGGCCCGTCCGTTACGCGTCAGACACTACTGGAGGAAAGGCAAACCGGGCGCTCGGACTGGAGGGGAAGCGCTGCTCCCAGCGGGGGAGCAGGAAGCCAGGTTTCTGCGGCGGGTCCGGCAGAGGAGGCGCTGAGCCCTGGGCGCGGGGGGCTCTGCGGGCGGCTCTGCGGGCGGCTCTGCGGGCGGCTCTGCGGCGCGGGGGCCCTGCGGGTCGCGCACTCGGGGCGGCCGCAGCCCTTCCTGTCTCGGACGCCCTCCCTCGGGCCGGCGGCGGGCGGGGACGGAACTGGGGCGGGGCGGGGCGGCGGGGGCGGCCTGGGCGCGGCGGCGGCGGGCTGCGACCGCAGGACATGACGACCGGCCGCCAGGCTGAGGGCGCGGACCCGGGCCCGGGCCCCGACCCCGACCCCGACCCCGACCCCGACCCGGCCTCGGCGCGGCTGCCCTCCCGGGTGGCCAGGCTGCTGTCGGCGCTCTTCTACGGGACCTGCTCCTTCCTCATCGTGCTGGTCAACAAGGCGCTGCTGACCGCCTACCGGTGAGCGGGGCGCAGGGGGCCGCGCGGGGGCCCGGGCGGGGGCGCGGCGGGTTGGCCGCCCTCGGAGCGCGGGGCCGGGGGGCGGGGGGCGGGGGCGCCGCGGCGGCCGGGCCCGGGACTCCGGAGCGGGCGTGCTGGCCGTGTGCTCCGTGCACTGAGCACGTTTCCGCGGAGGCTGGAGCCCGGACCTGCCCCCGCTGCTGAAAACCGGACCACAACCTGACAGAGTCGCTTTAGGACCAGCAAATGTGGACACGCCTCAGCACCGCGTACTACCGCGTGGCTGGCAGCCCTGCACCCTGAGGCTTTCAGATGCACCGGGGAGCTCAGACAGGTCGTCTTGATGTGGACTTTAAAGGCGAATAGTTCTTTGCGCAGACCTAGACTCGCAACAATCTGCTGAGTCCCAAGCGGATAAATTTATGTGCATTGTTTGGTCGTTTATTTTCAAATTACCAGTGTGTTCGTGGAAGACTGGGGAAAAAAACAAGTAGAAGTGCACATGATGTACTTGTTGGGATTAGCGTGCAGTAAGCCAGATTTGTGGTTCTTTGAGCCTATTTAGAAGGACTAGAAATTCCTGTTTAATTCTGCTATGCATGTAGCAGCACTGAAAGCATAGTGGATTTAGATCCGGCTGTACCACCTAATAGCTGTGCGTCTTGGGCTACACCTATAGTCAGCAGTTTCCTCAGATACAAAAGCCGGTTAATTACAACCCTGTTCATTACCTCCCAGAGCTTTGCAGGAGCTGACATAAGTGAGGACTCTTTGTAAACTATACTAGTGCTACAAGAATGTGAAATCATAATTGTATAAAGAGCCTAAAGAGACCTCAGAGAATATCTTTAGCTTTCTTATTTTATACTTGAGAAAGTTGAGACCCACATGAGCGTGGCTTGCTACACCTCCAGCAGGTGCTTACTGAGTGCCTACTATGAGCCAAGCCCATGACAGGCACCAGGGAAGCAGCTGTGATCAACACAGAGCTCCCTGCTCTGGAGATTCCATACAGAAAAGAAGTGGGTTCATAAAGAAGCAGGGTGATTTCAGGTATGTTATGAGAGTGACTGGGGTGGAGTGGTTGGCACAGGAGCATCCCAAACTGAAGGGAATGTGACAAAATGGACATGAGTTTGGTCTGCTGGAGGAACCGAATGAGCAAATGAAGAAGAAGGTAGGAGAGATGACGAGGAGGGAGGCAGGGAAGGCAGGATCAGATCTTTCATTCATTCAATATTTTTTAAGCACCTGTTAAGTGCCAGGCATTGTTCTAGGCCCGTGGGATATAAGAGTGAATAAAGCAGATCAAAATCCCAAATGTTATGGAGCAAGCATCCATCCTCCTAGAGCTTACATGGAACTTTCTAGTGAATCAGTAAATAAGCTGATAGGATTTATATTATGTCAGATGTAGTTGTGTGGTCAGGAGTAAAAAAAATAAGGCAGGAAGGGGGGTTTAGCAGAGTCTGCCATCTCAGTGTGATCAGGGAAGCCTCACTGAGGAGGTGGCATTTGAGCCAAGAGATGAGTGAGGTGAGGGAAACAGGAAAAAACATTGCAGACATGAAAGATAAGAGTGTTTGGGTGGGAATGTTATTAGGTGAGGTCCCAGGGTAATGGATTGCTAGATCCTACAGAGCCTATGAAGCCCCGTGGGAGCTCTGAGGGAGATGGGAGCCACTAGAAGGTGTTGAGCAGAGTAACATGAACTAAATCACTCTGGCTGCTGTGCTGAAGGCAGATGTTGGGGGCCAGGGTGGAAGCAGGGAAACCATGATAAATAGTTTTAATTTTAGTCTAAATGCATTTGGCAGTCCCTTGGAAGGTTTCAGTATGAGGAGTGATATGACAACTTATGTGATTAAAAAGATTTCATTGGCTGGCAGGTGGTTGGAGTACTGATGGCATTGGAATCCGGGAGAGGAGGTAGGAAGTGATTGCTGTATTCTAGATAATTCTAAGAGATGGCCTGGACTGAGGTGAAGGGTAGCAGCACATAGGCAGGAAGAGAGAGATTTAGGATATTTTTTGGCAATCCCATAGACCTACAAGATCTCTACCAGTGCGTTGCTAGCATGTTTGCTGGTGTCCAAGGAAAACACAAACACTGTCTGAAAGAAATTAGAATGAATGTATACCTAACTAAGCCTGTATCATTTAACACTTACTATGCAAGCTAATGAAAGAAAAAGAAAATTTAAAACATCTATGATAAAAACAAAACAAAACAAGAGAATGGTATTAAGAGGCTTGTTTGGGAGTGATTGGCAGTTATGTTGGATGAAGTTTGAAGGTCAGTCTCTCTTTTCTGCGCTTGAGTGGGCTGTGTGCTCTCTGGCCATGTCAGTCACTGCCTCCCAAAACATGTGTCATCTTGTTGGAAGCAGGGACCAGTAAGCACTGGTTAAGTGCTTCGAAGATGAAGGGCAGCAACCAACTGGGAAGAATTATTATTATATGAAACATCTCACGTTCTAGTCTTTCCACCTTTAAAATTTTGAGTTCTGTGATTGAATGAAGAAATGGCATTTTTGTCTCTGCAAGACAAAACTCTTTTATCCTTAGAAGTAAACATTTCACATTTCTGTAATGTAACAAGCAATTAGAGAACGCTGTTCAAATAACACTGTTCATTCTCTCCTATCAATGTGTGCCTTAGGAACACATTTTTGAGGGGAAGGTTGGGCTGATTTGGTTACAACAATAAACCATAGAAATCTGATCCAAGCATTAGCTGGAGAATAGAAGGAAGATAGAATAAGGAATAAGATAGAATAGAAGGAAGAACATTTCAGTAATTACCTAATCCACAGGGTCATAGGAATGTACCTCAAGGGATGTTTTTTCTCTTCCATTTTGAACAGATTATTTCTTTCTTAGGACAAGACTGATGGGTGGTCTTCATTATTTGTTACGCTAGACTCATGTGGTTCATTTGGAATCAGGTTCATGAGGGTTGTGAGGTGGCCTGGTTGCCACTGTGATATACTGTTCTCTGTGACATGCAAGAATTTACTGATGGTGCTTAATAAAAATATTGAGCTTAATTGTATTCAGTTTAGCAAGTATTTGCTCTCTACTTCTTTCTGCATCCCAGGACTTTGGCGATCACTTAACACAGTGGTTTCCAACCCTGCCTGGGAGTGTGAATTACTCGGAGAGGTTTTATAAAAGCTGTTGAATCGTCTGCAATGGTGGAAGCTGGAAATCCATGTTTTTTTTTTTTTTTTTTTTTTTTTTTAAATATTTTTTTTAATTTTTATTTATTTATGACAGTCACAGAGAGAGAGAGAGAGAGGCAGAGACACAGGCAGAGGGAGAAGCAGGCTCCATGCACCGGAAGCCCGACGTGGGATTCGATCCCGGGTCTCCAGGATCGCGCCCTGGGCCAAAGGCAGGCGCCAAACCGCTGCGCCACCCAGGGATCCCAAATTTTTTTTTTTTTTTAAATTATTTATTTACGATAGTCATACAGAGAGAGAGAGAGAGAAGAAGAGACACAGGCAGAGGGAGAAGCAGGCTCCATGCACCGGGAGCCTGACGTGGGATTCGATCCCGGGTCTCCAGGATCGCGCCCTGGGCCAAAGGCAGGCGCCAAACCGCTGCGCCACCCAGGGATCCCTGGAAATCCATGTTAAAGACAGAGACAGCTTGTAGTTTTCTCCTACTCTGATAGAAACCTGCCCCCTCCGGAAGGCACCCCTCCCAGCCCCTGGATGCGGCTAGGCCTCCTTGTCACCTGGGGCTGCCCAGGATGGGGTTGGGTCCTCGTGCCTCCCCACGGCTCACACTCACCTCTTCTGTGGTGTCTCCTGAGCTCTCGACACTCAGGTGACGATGGGCCCTGGTCTTCCTCTCCACCTGGACTGGCGGTGACCTTGGGGACTTCGGATCCACCGAGGGACCCTAGCAGTCGCTGCGGCCTCGCTGCCTGCGGCCACCCTGGGTCATTCGGCCTGAGCCGCCCCGGTCTGTGCAGCCAACCTTGCGGGTCCCACCCAGGCCCACCGCGGGGCTCCGGGCAGCCGCGGCCTCCCCACCACTTGCTCCGTCCTCCAGCCTGCACAGCACAGGCTGGAGGGGACCACGCGCACCTGGGGCTGCCCGGCTTCACTTTAAGATGACATCCTGGAGCTCTGCTGGCTTTCGTGCTCCCCTCTGGTTTCGGCCGCCCGAGGCTTGCTGTGCTCAGCTCCACAGTGACTCCTTGACGCTTTCTCCTCCCAGAACCTTCCCTCACCCCCAACCTCCACTCCCCTCCCGGTACTGTTGGCAAAGTGGAAGCCAGTGGGTGAGGCTGCTGTGAACACATAGGGAGCTTCTGTTCCCGGGGAAGGCTGGCCCTCTCCTCCTGCAGGTCTGTCCCCCAGCCCCTTCTGTCTTCTCTTCTCTCCACTTTGGTAGCCTCTGGCCCTTGAAGACATATTCAGATTTCTCAAGCTGAAATAACCCCTGCTTGAACCCGTATGGACCCTCATTTGTTTCTTTAGAGACTGACTTCAAAAGTTATCTTCATTTCTTCATGTTCACTCCTACAAGAATTCTTTAAAAAATTGGAGATTACGTAAATACAGAAATGTATAAAGAAGGCAAAAATAATTATCTATATTCCCACTACCTAGAATAGATGTCTTGAAATATCTACTTAAAAAAAATTGGGGATGCCTGGGTGGTTCGGTGGTTGAGCGCCTCCCTTCCACCCAGGGCTTGATCCTGGAATCCGGGGATTGAGTCCCACACTGGGCTCCCTGCATGGAGCCTGCTTCTCCCTCTGCCTTTGTCTCTGCCTCTCTGTCTCTGTGGCTCTCATGAATAAATGAATAAAATCTTTTAAAAAAATTAAAAATAAAAATGAAAAAATAAAAATTGTTTTAAACTAAGCTCTCTTCCCAATGTGGGGCCTGAACTCACGACCCCAAGATCAAGATTCATGTCATCTCCTGACAGAGCCAGCCAGGCGCCCCTCTATTTCTTTTTTTCAAGAAAAGTCATTCTGG